GCTGCCGGGCGGGGCGCGTTGTTCGAAGCGGGGTTTTAGGGACCGGCGCGGTGGCGACGTTCTGCCCGGGGGAGCGACAGCCCGTTGTTTGTTTAAAAAGCGGCAACGTTTTAAATGTTTTGTCACCTGCAAGATTCCAGCCGTAAAGCGGGAGCGCTGCTGGCAGCGGGTTCGGGGAGCTCACCGGGCAGAGCGAGGGCCTTCCCGGCCTGCTGCCTCCTCTGTGTCTGTAGGCAGCACAGGGAAAAGAAGATTTTCTTCCCCCTGGGCCATGCGGGACCGCACCAGCCCATTTCCACAGAGCTTCAGGTGGATCCAGCCCTTCCTCCGGCGGTTCGCTGCCGCCTCTTCAGAGCCCCCTGAGCTCCCCTTCGGGTGGGAGGGGTGCAGGGAGGAGCGCAAAGACCCCCCGACTGCCTTTCTAAATCCTCCCATCCCTCTCGAAATGTTGTTTCTGATCGAGGCGGTCGGTGCTCATCCAGCAGCATCCCCGGGCGCCTGCGAACTCCGGAGCTTGTGCGGGGAATTCCGCGTGCGGGCGATGGCGTTGCTGCGGGGCGGCTGTCGCGGCGCCCTCCAGGTGGGATCAGAATCCGCTTCTCGGGAGCGTTACGGTGGTGCTTGAAGTATTTCCTATATAATCTTTGCACTTAATATGAAGAGTAATAAAAATACCGAGAGCAAATTGCTTAGTTAAGTGGTTTAAACTGAGAAGTTGTTAAGCTTTTTGCAGGCTACGCGGCTGTATTCATTTGGAAAGCCCGTCTTACGGCAGGTTTGCCTTCCACAGTTATCAGTAATGATATAATTGTTTTCTCAGTGTATCAGCAATGTTACAGAGATAAAGGAATGAGGCATTGGAGTTTGGCGAATGATAATGCACATCATTTAGCAGCTGCGAGCTCCAGCTACGAGGTGTTATTTTCTGTAAGAAAAGGAAGCAGCTATTTTTCTTGCGCATATTGCAAAACATCAATTTATGTACTTACCATTTTATGTATCTGAAGCGAATAGTGACGTTTTATTTCCCCACCTAGGAATGATAGCTTGTTTTATGTCTACTGGATACCGCATTTTTTGCGAGGAAAGCGGTGCCTAGATATTTTTGCAGAGAAGGGATTAATGTTTTTGTCTCCTGCACTGTGCTCTCTGCCCGGCGGGTGAAGCCAGGGCTGGTTTGGTCCCCAGCCAGGTGTGCCCGTGTGGGTTCTGCACAACCCCGTGGGTCGGCGGCCGCTGGACGTGGGGTGAGGGAGCACCAGCAGGGCCCCTTGGTGGCACCAGTGAGATGAAAGCTGTAGCCCTCTGGTACACGGTGTTCCATGGTTTTACTATTATTGCGGCTGTTTTAAATATTTGAAGGTATGTTCTTGCAGTTTGGCCTTCCTGGCTCTCCAGAGCATCGCCGACAGCGGTTCCTTGCAAAGCGGGTGTTCTCATGGGCATGTTCGGTAAGGTTTCCCCAGGAAACCTTGCAGAACAAGCCTTTCATCCACCCCCCTGCGAGGGAGGGAGCAGGAGATACAGGTGGAAGCGTGTTGTCATCTCTTCAAGAAGCAAAGCTCCCCAGAAACGCTTCACGAGCCGCCGGTGGAAGCCCACCCAAGCAGAGCCCGCAGCGGGCTGCCACTCTGTCAGAGGCCGGGTGGTGAGGGGAGCGAGGGAACCGTCCCCATCGAGGTCAAAAATTCAGCGGTTTTGTCGAGTTGAGATGGTGGCTTTCAGCCTACAGCCCTTGAAATCCCGGTTTGCCTCCTGCTTGCTGGAGGGTGACTCTGAAATGCAGGGTTAGCGCGTTGATGCCTCCTGTAATTGGGTGCACGGTCCCGTGTCGCACAGGCTGCTGCGTTTGCAGGGACTCAAAGCTTGCTGTCTCTCCAGGGGACCCCGGTGTGATGCTAAACCCGACGGTGTGTGGTCACTCCAGTAGAACCAGTGATGTAATGGTCATTCTGGGGCTCCTTACTGAAGACCATGAATACTCTGCAGCCCATTTGAGGGTATGGTGCTTTGAGCAGATCCTTTATGGACCGACCCAAGGATTCTGCAGGGGGCTTCCCGTCCACCCCTGAACCGGGTCCTGGCCACAGCCGGCGCTGCAAGTGCGTGGAAACGCCGGTTCCTTCTGCGCGTCCTGCCGGTGGCTTAGCGAGTAAACCCCCTCGGGAGGTTGCCGGGGTTAAAGCTGCAGGCAGCAGTTTGGGGGCTTGCACGACCTTGAAAGCGGGGCTCGTGGTGCAGGAGCTTCAGCGAGGGTGTTGGGTCAGTGGGGCCTGGGTCCTGCCTTCTGCGCCTCTGCTCGGAGCCAAGGAAAACCTCACATTTGAGGAGCTGTTTCCGTGTGAAAACCTCTGACAGTCCTCAAATGGATTTTTTTTTTTTAAGCACATTTCAACATAGATTGCGTTTTCTTACTGATTTTGAGTGTCGGGCTGGCCCTGGTACTGCGGATGTCTTCAGCGGTGGCTGCGCGGGGAGCAGTGCATTAGGGCGAGCACGCTGCCTCCTCGGGGCTCTCCTTCAGGGAGCCTCGTCAGAGCCCTGAGTGCTGGGAGGAGACATGGAAGAGGTGAAAGCCTTTTAATGGTTTTCGTCTCTAAGAGAATGCTCAGAGTATTTTTTTCACTTGTTACAGAGGCAGTCTGACCTGGAATGGAGACTTTCAGTGTTGATTTCCTTGAAGGACAATAGTCTTCTTTAATCAAATATTTTATTTCCTTTCTCTTTTTTTGTGTGTGTAATGATTTTTCCATAGAAAGTATTTTCTGCTAAGGCAAAGCTTCACTGCTGTCTCTCCATTTCCACAGTGTCTCTTTGCTCGAAAGCAATCTTTTTGCTCTGTCATCCATTGGGGTTGAAATTAGAAATGCCAGAATGAAGAGTTCATGTATGGCCTTTCACCAGATTGCCTTAGCGTGACCGATCCCAGGTAGATGAACATTTTGATCCTTCCTGTTAGTGTCCTTTTCCTTCTTTTAGTCCCACTAACCTTGACAGAGCAAATGTTTTTCGTATCAAGTGTCAGCATTTGTATGTGTATGCACATGTATGTATGGGTAGTTTTCTAGGTAATTTCGGTTTAAATTTCAGACGTTACAAACCCATGAAGAAGTGTGGTTGCTTTGCGTTAGATTCGGGTTCCATTTTCTCAATTTTTTTTGGACAGTTTTGAAATACATGGCGCAGGGCCTCCGACCTTCTCTATTTCCTAAACACAAGCTTTGCATTTGGAGCACATGTGTACATACAAGTAGTCGGGTTTTGGGCCTCTCAAATTGGGTTCACTTACATTTGATGTGCGTGTGCTTGGATTCCTTGTTTGTGAAACAAGGCTAGCGCTGCAGGGGCCTGAATATCCCCGAAATGCCATGAAAACCCTCTTGATTTGTGGAGCATTGAGGCACTGCAGAGACGAACACTTTATTAAGTCTCTGGGAGTGTTTGGCTTCAGTCACAGCCTTGACAAAGTTTTTGTTTTGCTTATTAAGGTTGTGGATTTTTGGTGCTTTTTTAGTTATCTACACGAATCAAGCGCAAGCTTTAGCCTAGTTAAGATTTTTTTTCGCTTAAATGATAGAAATAAAACTACTTGTAAAGTCTTTATGGGAAAGGCTGGTAGGTCTGACCCTTTTGTGATAGTGTCCTACCTGGCCCCAGGACCTCGTTATGAGGAAATCCAGCTCTTTCAGTGATTTGCAGCGGCTGTTCTTGTTTGTGAGGAGCCAGGTGGTTTTAGTTACTGCATGTGAGACAAAAAGTGAGCTGTTGGCGCTGCTGCTACTGGCAGACCCGTGCAAGAGCTGGAGTTTACTGATAAAAAGGACAATAAGCTTTTTCCCCCTCCTTTGGGCTACAGAAGGTAGGGGTATCGATATGTTTTCCTTTGCGCTGGGGTAAATACACTGTTTGAGTCAACTCACCCCTTCGTTTTATTGCGTGGTGGGAGCTGCCTCGGTGGCACCCAGACCCCGCGCAGTTTGGGTGGCGGGGCCGGCAGGGTCTCGGTCTCTGCCTTCTGCGGGGGTCACTGCTGGCGCCGGGAGGGTGTGGGCTGTAGGTCTTCCAAGCGTGCGTGGGCTCCTTGCGAGAGGCGTCGGAAGCTCCCGTTAAAGGGGTGGCTGGTGCCAAGCCCTGACGTGGGGAGGGGGGAGCGTTGCGTGGGGGGAGCGTTGCGTGGAGGCAGGAGCAGGAGCGAAATTCCCGGCGGCTCTTGGGCACCGGAGGGGGAGCACCCAAAGGGTGGCGCGGCCGCACCCTGCAGGAGGGGGCTCGCCCTGGCGAGGGGGCGGGCTGGGGGCTTGAGAAATCGCTGCTTGGCGATGTCTGGGTTGTGTAAGAAATGATGGGAGGGGGTTAACCGAGAAGCAACCGTGTCTCTGTCTTCAAAGCTCAAGCCCGTCATTTCAGGGATGCGCTTTGCTGAGGGAGAAAGCGGTGTTTTCCTCCTGGTGTGGGGTGCCGTCCTGGCCCAGTGAGCCTTCCCAACGCCTGGCAGCGTTAGGTACTCGGGCAGCGTGGGGCTGGGGAGGGTTACGTAGGGGCGGGCTCAGTTTAAATAACACTTTCCATTTTCTCCTCCTTTTGGAAGCATCTACACAGGTTTTTCTGCTGGAGCCAAGTCTCTGGCTGTTTCTCTCCGGCGGAGGCTCGCCTGCTTCCCACCAGCAGAAACTGGCTGGCAGTCCAGGCAGGGGGGCACCACAGAGCCCACCGAAACAGGGATGGGAAAAAAAATCAAGTTCCATTGTTTCTGGGAACGAAACTTATTTTTATTGGTAATTTCTGTGTATCTGTTTTTAGAAATAAATCTGTTCTATGGGAAGCACCCGACTGGAATGGCATCTCAGGCTGCTGAAGAGTATGGGTCCTATTGACTTCATGGCACCAGAAAATAGCTTTTAAATGATCAAGAGCAGAGTGGAGCAGGCAAGGAGAACAGCTAGTGCTTGATCGCAAGGGCTTGTAGTAAACAGCCTTCTAATCCTACAATAAAAGCAACTTACCTTCCTAGCTGCTATCTGTTTATGAGGAATTATCTAAGAATAAAAAAAATCCAATCCCAATATTCACAGAATGTCTATAGATAGGAAGTTTGCTGCTGACTCAATAGACTTAGACTGCCCCCTTTTTTTTTTTCTTAATACCTCTTTCCACTTGCTGTCTTGCATCTGATCCTCTCCCAGCATGAGGCACGATTTATTGAGAAAGCTGAGAATTCAACCTTTAAGTTGGGGGAGCGTGTGCCCCTACTTGGCTGCTCAGAAGGAGCTGGTGGCAGCCCCCTAGAGAGAGGAGAATCCAAAATCCAACCAGCATCTCCTTGGATGTACTGAAGCCAGTGTATTTACAAGGGCATGTGGTGATGGGACAAGGAGGAACGATTTTGGACTGAAAGAGGGGAGATTTAGATTAGATGTAAGGAAGAAATTCTTCCCTGTGAAGATGGTGAGGCCCTGGCACAGGCTGCCCAGAGAAGTTGTGGATCATCCCTGGCAGTGCTCAAGGCCAGGCTGGATGGGGCTGGGAGCAGCCTGGTCTGGTGGGAGGTGTCCCTGCCCAGGGCAGGGGGCTTGGCACTGGGTGGTCTTTAGGGTCCCTTCCAACCCAAATGATGATTCTATGATTAAAAGGCTCATTTTCTTCTGTAAATTGTTGGGTTTTGCCATGTCATTTTTAATTTTTTTTTTTTTTAGATAACCTCGTGGTTTAATGTGTTAGCCGCCCGAGACGGCTCCTCTGACACCAGCGCTGCTGGTCGAGAGAAGGTGTGGGGAGCAGGAGCTCCCTCTGGGGAGGCTGGCGGCCACGGCACGGGGCTGGGAGGGCGAGGGAGGGTTAGGGCAGAAACCACCAAGCTCTACACAGCTTTTTGTGAGGGTATTCTGCCTTTTAATGGTTTGTTTTCGAGGAGGGAGGATCGAGCAATGACAGTCATTTTAGCCTGTTTCAAGTAACCTCTTTTTTTTTTTTTCCCCCCTATCAAAAGACCGTTGTCAGTTTTAATTCTGATAATGGTCTTACAAAGAAGTGACATCTAAAAGGCTTTAGTTTACAGGCTGTAGAGATGAAAGGGAAGGGAATAAGGGATAATAAACAATAATTCACATTGCCTTTTCTTTTTTTTTTTTTTTCCCTCTTTCTGTTGGAGCTGTTTTTCCATCCGTCTTTGGAAGCAGTGTTAAGTATGTTATGATGGCAGTTGCCTTAGAGCTAAACTGGCCCCGGTGCCGGGACAACATCCCCGCCGGGCCGGGTTATAACCTATGTCTTCCCCAGGCTGGTGCGTACGGGGGGATGCGCCGGAGCTGCCACGTCACCTCTTCATTGTTGTTCCCTGCCCTTGGCCTGTCTGGCAGCAAGAGCCGATGAGGGGATTTGCTCCGGCTTGTTTTATCCTTTCCGCCTCACGCTGCCCACGCCGGTGGGCTGCCCCGGCGGGCTCGGCTGTGTT